TAAAATAATCAAAAATAATTGAAAATGTCTTATTACTAAAAATAGTTTAAAAAAATATATTTTTATTGAACATCAAAGCATTTTTTTTTTCTAGAAAAATTGTCTTTAATGTAAACAAATAGAAAATGACATATTCACAAATCACAATGAACAATTAAAGTTTAGATTTTTTTCATGGTACTACATTAATTTCTATAATAAGTAATAAGTATGAGTATATTTTAGAAAAAAAATTTATTTTTATTTTTTATTGATTTTATAAACTGAATCCAAAATAGAGCACTAACCAAATAATGATATAAAAAATAGGAATCTAGCATTTATTTATTTTATTATTTACAGTTTTATATAAATGAAAGAAAATATACAATTTGAATTTGTTGGATAAGTTCTCGCTCGATAAACAAAAAAGATCACACTACAATATTTAAATATTTCTTAAAGAATTGAAATCCAAAAAAATATTCTATAAAATAAATTATTATAATTTCAACCTTTTATTTATTGTTCACTATGGATTCTTACAAAAAACAAATAAATTATTTAAAAAATGTTTTTGTTTCTATTATTGCTGACTTCTGTATCAGTTACTGTAAATAATATATTGGCAATATTTGAAGAAGAACACAGTTATACCTTCCTAATTGAAACATTTCCATAGGCAACATACATGGGATTTTTCATCTCTATCCTCATTTGTTTAAAGTAACTATTTCATTATTCTGTATTTATTACTAACTATACTATAAGTAATAATAAAATATATCTAATATACATTTTTTTTAAAGTTGGAAGATCAATGGTCCACAAACAGCATATAGTAAGTTCATAAAAACAAATAATTTGAAATCAAAAGAAATTTTAAGAAAAAGATTTATCAAAGCATGTAATTCAAAAAAAAAGTTGTATTATAGTTGATTTATGTAGTTATCACTATATATATATAAATCAATGATTTGTCTGGTATTTTTTTGTAATTACATTTTTCAAAAATGATTTAAAATGTATATCGTGAAGTATTTTTAACGGAGTAAGTATTTTCCGAAACTAATTTCTTGCATAAATCTGTACAAAATGGATAAATGGGATAAATATCTAAAAAACTATACTACAGTATTAGTAAAAAAATTTCGAAAAATTTGATTTTTAGTATATATATATATATATATATTGTGTAATTGAATACCATTTATCGTGGCCAACTCTTACTTCACATAACTTGCACAGCATCATTTAACCATCGATTAAAAAAATATTCTTTTCGAATTCACGCACATAATTACGAAGGTGATTCGATGAAGACGATTTATCTTTTGGCATTTTGAAAACTCAAGTAACACATAATTGTGTATTACGGCAGATACGAAAGCACGCACGAACACACAATGTAAATATTTTAACGCAACTGAAATAATATCAATGATCTGATATTGAAATAGATGTTTTCTTATTATGGTAAACACTGTTTTATCAATTATTAATCTAAGGTCATATTTTGAAAAACCGTTTATACCTTGTAGGTATACTTGTAATATATTTTGATATTAATTTAAATAATTAAAATATAATTTTTTTTTCTTATATTACAATAATCATTATTTCAAAAATGTCTTAACAACAAAAAAACTCCGAAATATGCATTAAAAAATAAAATTTGTAACTAAAATCGTAAAATAAGCCCTTAAAAAAAAAAAAAAAAAAAATGGGTAGGTACATATCAAAATAAGCACTAAAAAAGTTTTATTGTTTAAATTGTTATGTAATGAAACAAATTCTGTACTCGCTTAGCATATCATATGAATAACCTGAATAAATTATACAAATGCATACAAATCCGCGTTTTACAGTTATAACACTTATAACTGTTGTATAATAAAATGTAAACAAAGTATTGTTTATTTGTATACTCATTATTATTATTATTATTATTATTATTATTGAAATACAATAAAATATAAGGTTGGATAATGAATATTCTCGTGAGAAAATAAATTCATTATAACTTTCTTTATATTTTAGTTACATAAAATAATTTATTAATCATAGAAACGTATATTCCTATATTGCCATAATTATCATAAATTAATTTAAAATATAACTGTGTCAAACTGAGAAAATTTTACATTACTAGAATTTTACAAATTTGCATATTCAAAGTTATTAAATACATATAACACTCGAACGAAGTACAATTTATTATAATAATATTATTATTAAACGAAAATTTTACAATTTTAAATTTTTCGTGTTCCAATTTTCAGTAATATTATAATTTATAGCTAATTTATATAATATAATGTAAACTTAGTACTATATATTACATTATACTTCTAAATTTACTTTATTATTCAAAAAAATGTGTTCTGTTTCGATCAATAACATATATTGTTGTATTCATGTATATTGTTATACATGTCATGTAAGTAGATACTAAAATTGTTAGTTGTTAGATATTCTTTTTGGCTTACCACTAAATCAAAAAATTGTATACTGACATGTGTACCTACATAAATCAATTGCGCACAATACAATATTGTTAAACATTCGGAGTTAGGATTAATAATCCATAGAAGTTTAATTTTGTTACAAACTAAATTTAATAGTAGATATTTCAAAACAGGGAATAGTGTTTTAAAAATTCAAAACACTGAAATAAAATAATATACAGCTTAATATTAAGAGTACGCCACTGTAGTTATCGTTATTATTAATCTTATATGCTAAGTTTAGCAGCTATTATAATATGAACCAATTCAATGGAAAATTTTGGGATACTAGACTTACTTAGGCACAAATAATTTAATATTTTAAGATATCTACTACTCGGAACCTCAGGCAAAAAGTTTTAAAAAAAGTCTGTAATCATTGTCGTCGGGTGACGATTATTCGTTATATCGAAACGACGTAGTTATTTCATCGATTGAAAGATATCCAACACTTCACTGTTGCTACTTCACTACTACATTACAGTTATGTTATAATAGTAATATATAATGTTATAGTAATATTAAATATACTTCGCAATGTTCGATTTAAATATTCTATACACGTATGAATTCTTTAACAAATATCTAATCTATTTAGGAAGTTAATATTTTGTACATTAATATTTATAAAAAAATAAGACTATGAAATTTAAAATATTTAAGTTTAAAATTACGGTTTAATAATCAAGAATTCAATTAACTGACAAATAAATTATTTAAAATTGGAAATAAATTAGGGAAATATAAAATATTATAACTTCACGTATCTTCCATTTTTCAAAATAATAAGAAAATACAGTTAAAAAGATCTACCTCTGTACATTTATATATTTTTATACTCCAGTATAAACTGAGGTAGGTTCAAAAAAATAAATTATTATAATAATAATATTTAATTATTAAATATTGTATATTTTTACATAATGAAAGGTAACTAATATGGATTCAGGGTTTGATAACGAAATGAAATTTAACTTTAAATTTTAACTTTGAAAGTTAGCTATTTCTGATCCCAATTAAAAATAATATATTAATTTTATAATTTTTAAAATATTGTAAAATATTGATTTAAATTTTTTCTGTTTTTAATAAGATTTTAAACATATGTATTCTTTATTTTTATTTAAAATTTTTTACAATTTTAATTTTGATATTTGAAATCTGCTTATCTACCGATGAAAAATATTTTAGCTTTTAGCTTTGTTAAATTTTAAATATGACTAAATATTTTTTTTTAAATTTTAAATCGATTTTTGAAATAAATTATTGCTTTTAATTTTTATTTAATTTTAATATTAATTTTGAATCGCATTAAAAGAAACTGATTTTGACATTTCTTTTGTTTCGTTGAAAACTTTTAAAATGTTTTATAGATTTTAAATATTATTTAAAATCGACTTCAAGTCCTGAATCCTTAAGCACTCTTAAACATTCCTGTGATTTGTTTTTTTAGATATATCTACGTACATACTACATATAACTGCGATTGGTAAGAGCCGGAAAGCTGTGGGTACCTATGTGCAATTTGAGTACGAGTGATCTGCTTTAATGATATGATTATTCGTGAATAATATATTTTATTCGTATGAGATATAACATTGGAGACTACATTAAGTTAGCAGCACATCATAACAGCTCATACACGAAATGTATTCAACAAGTTTGTTGGTAACTTATCGAATGACATTTTGTTAATATAAAGCTGTATTATTAGAGTATAATTATAGCAATGCATAAGTTATAAAAGCTGTTCTCTTACAAGTTACCAATAAATGTATTGTATACACTTCATATGTTTTTGTATTCTATTATGGCTGTACTACTAACTTTATAAGGGTCATTGAAGCACATCAAAACTAAATTTATATAGTAAGAACAACGTATCACGCGTATAAACAAATAATAGACATTTTATCTACATATTGATCAGTTTTAAAACTATTACAGTATTTCACTTAAAATTCGATATTTGCAGGCACTGGATTATCACTAATTTTACCTTTAAGATACATATTAGTTATAGTATATTAAATGTGGTTGTTCGCGTGAATTCAAAACAATAAAACAAAACTTAAAAAAAACTTAAAAAATTATTTCTTTATTTTATATGGACAAACAAATAGGTAAATTAAAATAAAATAACAAATAATTTAATTTTTTTTTAAAATTATATTAAATTTTACAAATATAGGTAATGAATTGCTTTATCATTTAAAAACAACGCGTACAACGTCATATTAAGATACAGTTTGCAGTTCGATATGATAATATAATTGGTACATCTACGAAATTCACTGAGAATAATGTTCGAATAGCTGTCAAATTAAAATTATTTCGATTTCAAACATTATAGTTTCAATTTAAAATATCACGGCACACATCAATAGTTCTTAACGAAGATTTGTTTACAGGTATTTCAGGTTTTATAGCTGCAGTATACATGTAAAATACATTAAATTATTATACAAAGTTATTCAAAATAATTTATCCGATTTAAAATTATTATATATTTTCAGTTTTTGGATTCAGAGTAAATAAATTTAATAAAATAACAATACTTCAAATGTATTCAACAATATACCTATAAATATCCTATTTGGTTTGGCTTCTTTTTGTCACACGAACAACATCTATGATCGGAACTCAAATTCATTCCATGCATATAGGGTGCAACTGACTTGGCTAATTTTTTATCTTCTCTATGGTTGATGATAATATTGGTGCGTATACAGTATCTTTAACACATCTCCTAAAAAATTGGTCACACTGCTCAAGATCGAGTAACCAAGAAAGTCAGGTAAAAAGCATCGGATAATTATTATTTTTGAATAACCCTGTACAGTAATAATCGTTTTGGTTTAGTATAAGTATACCTAAACTGCTTTATAGGCGCATATCTCTAGTATGTACGTATATTGGTATCTAAATACTGTCGTGGTTATATTAAGGAAAGTAGATATAAGTCATATTATAAATTTAACGATGGGTATTGTTAGTGTAATAGGTATGTAGGGCGAAGGGGTGACATACCCCACATTGCGCGCAATGATATTATAAAAATCGTGCAAAAATGACCCAGTACGTCATGTTGAGTACCGCGAACAGCAACGGAAAGAACACCCTTGAAAATCGATCAATGTTTATGGCCCGGGTGCGGTTTCTCTGTGCGAGGGCCGTTGTGGCGGCCAAGGCGGCCGCGGTGGCCTGTGGCGGCGGACGCGGAGGCGGCGGGATCGGGTGGCCGTCGTTTAACTTAAAGTTGCTCTGCAAACCAAAAGATGTTTTCATGAAATTATTTAAAATTAAAAAAAAAAAAATGATCGATTTTTATTATCTCTTTACAACTAGCTGTATAAAAACTAATTATAATATTATAATAGATATTATCATTACCTATTTATTGTATTGGTACCTTTGAAAGAAGAGCTGAAGGAACATTACATCATCTCATTTTTTTTAAGTACTGTTTACTTTTAAATCTGTATTATTCTATTGTCATTTGCCACTAAGCACTAACCTCGTTCTAAAACCACTTAATAAGTATCTACACACAGAGGGAACACTTGAGTTGCATTTCACAAAAAAAGTGAACTAAAATTGCGTTCTAAAAGTTCTAAGACGCAATTTGTGTATTTGAATCAAAAGTTTTAACTAATCATCAAATAAATAATAAGCGATATATTTTTGTTAAATATATAATTATTATTATGTAACAAAAAAGAAAATATACGTTGAATCTGATCAAAAATGTGTAATTGTATGATATAAGCTTTTTGAAAATTCTAATTTTGTTATTTAATTGGAAAATTTTGGTAGTTTTTCGTTTTAATATGGATATAAATTATTTGAGAAAAAAAAATCATTCATATTTATCGTAATTTATAATATAACATAATATCCGAACTCAGAATTTCTTAGTAAATATACTATAGAAAACCCCTAAAAAGGAAAAATTGTACTTTTTAACACACTATATTACACGATTCATGTATACATTTTTTGGGGGAAGCAACTAAAGTGCTTCACTTATATAACGAGTACTTACTGTTGACTAAAAATTTTTTTTTAAATAAAAATTCAAGAATTTAATGTCCTTTTAAAGCTAAAGGTCAATAACTTAACTAATTAATTAATATAACTTTAAAAAAAGTTTTACTGCATATATATAATATACCATACACAAATGTTAAAAAACTCGGTGGTAACGATAGAGAAAAAACAACTACATATATTTCCTCTCTTAAAATATAACTATAACCTAACTAAACCTAAATCAAATTGAATAAAATAACAAAAACAGTATGTATACGAAATATTATATCATAATATATCATATATATATTATATCATTAAACATTATAAGTTACTAGTAAATAACCATTTAACCAATAAAGTCATAAGTGCGTGCGTCTTTTTAAAATGATCATCAAATATATTTTATTATTTTTGTATTTATATTTTATTTTATCTATTTTACCTTACAGATGTAAGTTAAAAAAGCAAATTATTTCATAGTGCTTCAAAAAATAAGAAAAAGAAGCACGAAAATAAACAATCGGTAAAATTATTTAGTATTTGACTTTAAAATGTTAACAAACAATCTGTTAATTATAAATAATAATTGAATATTCTATTGTAATTAAATTGATTAAGCTATAAAAATAATCTTATAATATACGTTATACAAAAATGTGTCCACATGGTAAAATAAGATATCATATTTTAAATCGTTTCCAAACAAATGTAAAGTGGTTCAAAAATGTAGAGCGTTAAAGTATTTTTTGATTGTAGTTTATCCTCAGTCATTCTTATTTCCTAGTACTGTATATAATTTTAGTTAGCTTATAAACATATAAACTTATTTTTAAGTTATTTTTAACTATAAAAAAAATAATATTGTAAAAAATTGCAATGATTATGGTTAAAGAAAATAAATTTTTTTTTATAAATTACCATAAACCGCTATAAATTTTTATTCAAAAATTGTTTACAAAAATGTCGTGAAAATCATTGTATATTGTTAAAATAATCGCTATATTTACACTTTGAGTGAGGTTTCGATAGTCTTAAAAATCATTAATTCATTAATTATATTTTATTTTTCATTTTATATAAGCAATCAGCTACTCATCGATTTTATATCATATTAAAATATGCTTACAATAATTCGATAGCCACGTCATTATTTGCATACGCTTCAGCGAAAAAAATATTATTTAATATTAAATTCATATCATAAATGCCAATTTGTTTCTATATTATTTGAATATAAATGAGATATAATCCATACTTGTATAATTTTGTAGACAGACAGTTTATTTTCTTTTTCTTTATTTTACTTTACGTAAGAAAATCACGGATACAAGAATAATAATACATGAATACATATATAAAATATGGATACATTTGAAGCATGCGGAAATGTGGACAAGCTGTATATAGTGTCGCTAAAAGTTAAAAAAGGGAAATATAAATAATTGTGGTAAGATATAATGTACCTATATTATATAGCATTATTCATAAAAAATAACCTATAATCAATACTAAGGAAAAACTTGTTTGGAATATCAATTTCCATATTTATGTGAACACATTCTGAGCATTTTCTTAATTAAATATATCTATAACAGTTACTAATTTGAGTTTTCTTTAAATAATATTCTATGGTTACAGGATGATAGTTTGATACCTACTACTAAGCGACCTTTCATCGTAATTGTCGTTTAATTTTGAGTATTTACGTTTATATTTTTAAAGTTAGTTATTATTTATTAATTTATAAGCTGATAACTTATTTTAATTTTAGTCATCTACTCATTTAAAATACAATGAATTCTAAAACGATTAGGTTAGTGGTCTTGAATTTAAATATTTTTAAATAATAAAATATTTTTTCCTTGTTTAACTTTATTAAAATCAAAAATAATACTTACCCTGAAGCTGAAATTAAATGACTTTTTATTTAATGGTTTTGGTGGCATATCGGAATCACCGAGCACTATGTTCACCAAACAATATTCCATGAGTGCCATAAATACGAATCTAAAACATACATTGGTTATAATTTTTTTTAGTTTAATGCACTAATCTAACAGTAATGTTATATTTGTAATTTATTTTTTTTATATATCATCAAGTACATAATTTATACGAAGTAATACAAATATATAAGAATTGAATATCTGTATTTAATAACTTTAAAATTATAATAAATAACATATACTGTAGGAATTGAAATACACATTTTTTAAAACGTTATTAGTAAACATCAGAATAGAAAATAAAATAAAAATAAAAGTTATAATTGATTGGTACAACTGCCTACTTGATACAACTGTACAAAAAATATTTTAAATGTCGTATATGTTAAGACTAAATAAATCAAAATAATTACAAGAAATAATAAATACATTCTCAGGAAATATTGACAATTTGTTTTCTTTAGATTGGCTATATCTTAACATACACAATCAAATAAGATGCCACAGGAAATGTTTACAATGGAAAAAAATTGCTTTATAGGATTTCTTGAAAATATTACTCTACCTTTGGTTATAGTTTATTTTATTTTTTCATACGTAATACTTCACACCTGGTTAATGGCACTAACCCTTTCCTGCCCCCTACAGGCTATAGTCATAAGAAGATTAACTAAAAATTGCAACTATACAAAATTTGTTTTTCTATAATTTCAATTTTTTCCCAATTAATGTATAATAATTTATAACCACTTAATAGTAGGTATCTACAAATGGTTCAAAAAATTATTTAATTTACATCCGATAAAATAACTTGGATCTTCCCATTGCGTTTAGAGATAACACCTGTATATAAAGTAAAAGTGATAGACATGATAGTTGAACAATACCTAACAAAAATATTACCGATATTACTGTAGGTATCATATATATATATATATATACCTCCAGTGAGAAATCTAGAATATTTTATTTTTTTTGAGGGGGGAGGGGTGTAAAATTGTCCATATTAATTTTGTAAACACAATTTAGGATTTAATGTTAGATTTTAAAAATGTAATATAACTGCCAAAAGGGAGCAGACTCCTCAGACCCCCTTGAACTCACCACTGCATACCTCCTTTATTATTAAAAATTATACCTAAACTTTGATGCACACTTTGATACTTAAAGTTATTTTTCACCTATATACCATATTATGTACGTCTATACATACAAGTATGATGTTTTTACATCTATTATTTTAGATGATGATCTATTTAAATACATTTTAAATTAAATAAAACGTACTAATTTTATCAATATCTTATGATTTTTAAAGAACGACCTAATTAATATATTTTTATTTAAAATATAAATAGTTTATTTATATGCGTTTGTATATACAGTGCATTAATGTATGCAAATATACTATATTATACTAAAGCAAAAATTTGTTTTCAAATACTAATTCTTGCATCAATTCAATTAAAAATATTGAAATATAATATAAATTAATTTTCACGTTGAAAAATAATAACACCAGAGTTTTAGACTTGATACTAAATTATTTAATAAAACTATAACAATATAGTAGTAAATTAATATGAATAATTATTACGTATACTTAAATGTTCATTCATATTAACAACTATTGATTTAATTTCATTAGTTTAGTTATTTAACAAAGATAATCAACTGTTAAATATAAACATAAAAATATATGCAATTACAATTAAATACGTATATACCTAGTATAATATAGTGTATTGGTATTTTACATTTTAAGAGTGCATATTGTCTAGAATTTGCACACTCGTTTTAATTAAAAGCTATATACTCAATAAACTAAATTTCAAATGGGCATTTTACAAATTATTTCCCACTACAAAAATAATTATTGTTAAATTCGTTTATTCAAAAGTCATATATATTATACTTACACTGTACACGCGGACATAAATGTATCGACTGCTTTTAGATATGAAACTGGAGGCAGCGCAGCTTGAGATTTAGCGTGTTGTGTCGACAATGTTAATAGAGACGTAACACCCAACGTTACACGAGCTGGAGCTGCTTCAGGTTTAATCCAAAACGATACCCACTAAAAATTTTTAATTTGGCTGTTGTTTTATATAGTTTTAAACAATAACAATATTTTTCACTAGCTAAAAATACAAGGTACCTAATTAAGGGAATCACAGATTTCAGAACACGTATTTTTCATAAGTTTTAGACTATTAGACCAATGAACGATAGTAAATTACACATTCTTCACAATATCCAATTAAAATTTTTAATATACGTATGAGTTCTTCAACAAATATCTAGGCTATTAAAGAAGTTGATTTCAAAATTTAAAGAACTTTAAAATTAAGATATTATTATAGAACTATCGTTAAACAATTACATTGCATTTGTATTCAATTTGGACATAAAAGATTTTAAATAGAAAAAGTTATTCCTAAATAGCCTAATCTAAAAACTTATGAATTCAAACCATTTTTTTTTTTCAAAACTACAATCAAATTTCAGTGTTTTTACTTTTGATTTTAGTAGTTTTTGTATAATATTGCATTTCTCGCTACTTATCGAATTGTTCGTACATGTGCAAAAGTTGCATTCACTAAAACCAATAATGTATTACACACTAATATCCATTTACTACTTACACAAATACAGCCCAAACGTAAACATCGTATAAATTACTTAAATATTACTCTTTAAAACATACTACGCACTAGTCCCAGTAAGGGACAACTGTTTGAGGTTATCACTTATCGTTACAATAATGTATTTATTTATTAAAATAAACGTCAATAAGAAATAACAATTTAAAAAAGCTGGCAAGTGGGTACCGCTCTGTTTTACATTAGGGGGTGGGGTGAACCTCGGACTAGGGTAGATTAAATTTGAATGCAATGATAGGTATCATTGTATACGAAAAACGATTCTGAACGGAGATGATTTGTCAGTCTAGGATATATTATATTTAAATATTGTCATATATTCTATTTTAAAACAAATATTTTATTTTTCAATTAGGACGCATTTGCAAAAGTCATGGTTAATCAATTTTTCCAAAAACATTGCATTTAGTTATCATAATTCATAATACCTTAATATATTATCATAGATATACCTGGTATGCCAAAAGAATGATTGTAGATATCTTATAACACAAAAAGAAATACCATAATATCACAGAACAATATAATATATCTAGTTCGTAACCACAATAATCATCTATAGGTATATAGGTATATACATTTTATTATTTTACAATAGGATTATTATATATATTATAATTTGTGGTACAATCAATGTGAAAACTTTAAATTTTTAAATTTCCGTGGTTTATGTTTTAATCGCTTGAATACACCAACATTTAATTCTTTTATAATTATTGTAAGCTAAATTTATGGAAAATTTTGTATTAAATTTTCAACTCTTAGCTACTTATACAAAAATTTTTATGAATTATACCTATAAAATAGTTTGCAAATATTCATGGTTTTGACGAATTTTTGTCAATATTTGAATTTCAATGCTAATAAAAAAAAATTGTGCCTATGTATTCTTAAAATTTTTTGATCACTATAAGAATAATTTATGAAGAACTTTTTATTAAATTTTCAAGTATTTTGATTGGGCCAAAAAAATTTTATCGACACTTCAAAAAAAAAAAAAAAATTGAAAATTTCAATTGTCTATAAATAGCTCAAAAAAAGTCAAAATATTTTGAAAAATAAATCATGTAAAAAAAAATGCCAATTTAAATAACTGGTAAAATTTTCAAGTACCTACGACTTATACTTTTTGAATATTAACAAATATTTAAAATCGTTTGAGGATAAATCGTTATTGTTACGCTATTTCGTAAAAATTTAAAATTCAAACGTACTTAAAATTTTTCCTATAATGATGCTTCGAGTTTTTATTATAGCTATTTGAAGGAAAACTTAGGGAAAACATAGTGTAGTATTTTTAATCCTTAGTTATAAATACAAACAATTTTATGATTTTTCAACTTCAAAATTACTTACAAAGTTTCGCGTTTTCGATAGATTTCGTAAATATTTGAACTATAAACGTTTATAAAAAAAAATTGTGACTAACGATTTTCAATTTTTTTTAGCTACAATAAGAACAACTCATAAGGAACCTTGTAATAAATTTTCAAAATTTTTTGGCCATCCAACATTTTTTTATCGACACTTCAAAAAAAAATTCTCATAAAAATCGATAATTTCAGTGGTCTATAAATAACTCAAAAAAGTCAAAGTTTTTTGAAAATTAAACTGTATATAGATAACACTAACATAAACATTTGGTGAAAATTTCAAGTACAGTGATTAGTTTTTGAATTACAACCATATAAAAAAATCGATTTGGTCAAAAACTGGTTTTGCGTAAAAATTCCCGTTTTTCCGTAATTTTTTTTTTGTTTTTCTCAATTTTTTTGAAAACTGTTGGAAAATGTTTACTTTTTATCTCTATAATGCACCAAAGATATTCACTTTGCCATCGGAAACCACCCCCGAAGTTTGAAATTAAAGCATTATTTCGACTACTTATGCTGTACACAGACACAAAAAAAAACACACATCATTGTAAAATCAATACATTCATCACTCCGTTCAGAATCTAAAATATATATAAGCTATTAATTATAGTATGACAACTAAAAAAAAAAAAAAAAAAATGTATAAAAATAATAATAATAATAGCATAAATATTATGCTACATTCAACAGTTAATATAATAATTTCAAATTTGCAATCAAATTTACAAAAATTAAATAGCTAAGAATAAAACATCAATACAAGTTCTATCAGAAATCTATAAACTGTAGTTTTTGTAAAACATTTTGTTTAGAATAAAATGCAGAGAATTTTCATTATGAATAAGGTTACTACAGGTGTTATAAGATATTGGGTACTTATAAACTATTTAAGTACCTATATAAATAGCTATTATTAGTTACATGATTATTGCCAATTACTTACCGACATAATGACAATCAGGCAGGTAGGAATATAAGTGTGAAACAGATAATACCCAAGTCTTCGTTTAAGAACAAAAATAACTTCAAGACACGTAAAATTTCCTGAAAAATCAAGTAAGTGCATCAATTTAATGACATATTTTTCGTTATAATTTGTAAGTTTTAACTAATTCATTGCTTTTTATTATATATTATATCCCCCTCCCCCTAAAAAAAAACAAGCTTTATACTTAAAGGGGAGTTACAAACATGTTTCTTGTATATTTTTAATTATAAGTATAAAATTGTATATTATTGGAAAAAAAAAAATTTAACTTTTAAACATTAAAATATTAGTTTATAGTACCTATAAACTGTACATAATAGAATATACCAAGCAAAGTTAAAAATAAATTTCAATATTGGTATTTATGATAATATGCTACAATATAATTAACAAAATTATCATTAAATTACGTACTAGAAAATAATAAATAATCAGCTAAAAAAAGATATGTTATAAATATCATCAACTTATTTAAAATATTAGGGATTTAATCTATATATTATAGGTGTATGGTTTAGACTATATGGGTCTATTATTGGAAAAATATTTAAAGCTTATTTTTTAGTCAAACAAAAATAGTTTAAAATGTAATGAGTTAATATACCTACTAATATATTATTTTCTATATCAGAAATATCTTATACGGGCACTCAAAAAATTATATTGTACCTAAATCATTAATGCCAAATATATAGCCTTTCTTTTCTGACTTACTTCTTACAACGTGTAAAAACATCTTAGGACCATTGTCCATTGTAGTTTGTGAAGTATACAGTAATACTTAATGGCGGGAAAGATTTATATTAATACATTTATACAAAAATTTTACGTTTTTATAGTGCAAAATAACTATGAGAGGTAGGTAAATATCCAAAATCCCCTGTGTGTATACATCGCTGGCTGTAATACTATATTATATTTAATTTAGATAATATACTCGTATTATATCTGTGAATAACTATGACTAGTTTAACTAAAGGAAAATATATACCAGTAGAATAAACCTGAGTGCAGTCAGCAGTTTGATTCTTAACTAACTGTAATTGAGGCAATTCAATGTTTTCATCGACAACTAACGGTACCTCTGGGTCCCATTGAAATATCATGTCATCAGTGGTATGAGACACTGAAATGAATTAGATATCTCAATTTTATTGTAGCTTTACTATTAAATGACAATTTTATCTTACAGCTTTCCATTTGAAGTTTGCATTCTTGTGTATCATGTGGATATATCATGAAGTTCATTGCACACGATAATGTTAACGTTAATCTAAAAACGAAAAATCACTTTTATGAATATTGAATTAGCTGTATAATAAAAATAACTATTGATGTTGATAAAATCATACTTGACCATGTAGAGAATAGTTTTATCTTTATAAAGCCACATGTAATGATTTGGAATTGTCATCGTTTGAAATGTAACAGCTTTGGCATTTTTAAAAAACGAATCCGGTCTCCAAATATTTTTCAACCAATCAACCTCTAATAATCTGAAAAAATATTTATTAAACATAAATTAATATATTCAATTTTATAAATATTTTTATAGACACTAACCTATATTCGGAAGTCATATTTTCTGGTAAACGAAGCCTATGATCTTTCCATGTTTGAGCAAAAAAAATATCAGCAGCGTATGTCTTATGAAAAAAAAAAAATTTTAATGTAAAAAAATAATTTTTAATTTAAATATAATAGTTACCATTGCATTTTCATCGATTGAATCTAAGCCCATCACCGTAACATGAAAGTGAACTTTTGTTGCCGTGCCATCTATTTTGGGTGGTCTCATTTTATCATATTGCTTTGCATCCTCTGGCAAAATATCTCTGAATTCCAAGCATTTCGAATAACTAAATTGAGAACTATTTAAAATAAAACAAAATTTAAACTAAAAACGGATTAAGTAATTTAAAATTTAGGATTGTGGTGCTGATTTATAAATATAGATACTTTGAAGATGAAATTTTTTTATAGAATAAATTAAGTTTGAGAGTAACTGAATTATGTATTAGTATTTATAATAATTTAACTATATTCTAGAGTAAGATAAATAAATTATTCTAAAATTTATTTTTCTTGGATAAATGTGGATACATATAAGATTGTCAAAATTAATCCTATACTTTCATTTTTTAAATCTGAGTACTCTATTATAAGACAATAATATTACATTATTAATTATACTTACTTGATAACATAACAGAAAATTATAAGCTTAGTTATAATAGCACTGGATATTTTTTTTGTATTCCAATTCTTCATAACTAAATTGTAAACCTAAGAAATAAATACCAATTATTAAAAAATATTTGAATTTGAATGTTACTACTTTATACCTACCTAGCAGAAAATTAAAATATTTTAGAATATACAAAATGAAAGAAAATATGAGTATTAGTAATGTGTAAAAATAATAACAATTGGATATTTTAAATATTATTCATAAATTATAAATTATATTGTTGTATGTATTTTAAACAGGTACTTAATAAATTGAACTATCGAATTTTTTCACATTCACACTATCTTTGGTCATAAATATAAATCAAAATAAATATATACAAAATTCATAAAACAAGTAATTTATGTTATAAGAAAATAATCAATAGCAAAATTTATAGGATGATAATATAGTAATAACTTATTACTAATTAGTTATAAGTATAATAAATAATAATTAATGTTAATCGTATATAATTTCATATTCACCGAATATACATGATACATATGATAAAATGTCTGTCTTTAAGTAAAAATAGCTTGGAAATTTAGCATAAAATACCTCATAGTATTTATAAATTAAAATATTCCTAAAATTTAAGAATATTAATTTTTCAGTTTTATTATTTATTACGTGCGATAGTTTTGAGTTCTAGATTCGGAACAATTTAATAATTAAATTTTGATTTTTAAAGTATAAATTAATTTTAAATTGATCGTAATAAGAATTACGTCCAACTAGTACCTAATGTCGGTTACCTCATAAACTATAACAATATTATAATTCACAATTAATAATAATCTAGTTATTTCAGTTAATAAATTGGTTAAAAGTCTTAATTTATAATAAATATACATAACTAAACATTTTTTTCTTCTACTTAATACTAGTTACCTAAATATAATAGTTAATAAATAAATATCAGTTAAGAGTCAATCTTTGTTTCACAAATATGCAAGTACCTCTTAGAGATTTCATATATTTTGTTGATTAGTCTGATGCATATTTTTTAGTCCACATTAAATATTCAAATAGATATAATAAATTATATAAGCCAACAATTACAAATCAACGATTAAATTGAACGTATCTTAATCAAACATTTATCATTTGTAAATATACAATGTGCGCTTATGGTTAAAAAGACCCAAGATTTTAAAATGTGGCTGCTCTAGTAAACCTTAAATGTTTATATTTTTAAAATAATATTAATCTAATATTGTATCAATTTTTAGTTCTAAAAATAAGCAAATTCGATAATTCTATATTAAAACGTACGAATGTAATAATATTTGTGTATTGCATAGGTATACGCAACCACAAATTTACATTTAATAACTGGTACTTATTATTAATTTAAAAACATATTTATAATATAAATTTTAATGATCCAAAAGTAATTTTATTATCTACTACATTTTATATTATTATTATTTTTCATTCAAAATTTTTAAAACTGACATGCCCGATTTTTCAATTTAGATATATAGTATTAATTTTTTTCTATTGAAATTTAAGCGATAGTTATATTTCAAATATTTGTTATTTTAGGTTTTTTTAATATTAAAAGTGTCTCAAAACTGTACTTAAAATATCAAATTTTGGCTTCATCCTGCGAATCCGATCTTAGGTCTTTTTAACCATGAGCACACATTGTATATTTACATAGTAAGTTCTCGTTTAATGTCGAAGTTAGATTCTTCGAAAACACAACGTTAACCGAAAAAAAAAAGTTTATCGAAACACTTTTTACATACATTTTGTTATAACGAATTCTTACCTACAAATAACAATGTACATATTATTTATTGCAATTATTTATATTGAATTATATTGAATTATCTACATATAATACTAAAAATTAACGAAAACTTATAATCAGATTTACAATTTATTCTTTAAAAATGAGTTTAAAGTTGATTTTTTAGCTATATTTTTCTTATCACAATACAATTCTTGGTAACACATCAAGCTACCTACTTAAAACATCTTGCTCAACATGCGAAAATCTTACATGATTTGGTGTTAGACAATAATGTCCACCACTCGCTTACTGGATTCAAAACGTTTTAAAATTTCAATTTTTGTAAAAAGAGTTATAGTTAACCTATTTTTTTTTTTTTAAATATTAATGATCATGAAGGTGAGCCTAGGCGTTTTGTTGTCATTTTAATTATAAATTAACAAATATATGTAACAGAAAAATAATTAGTAATAATAATTTATGTATGTATAAGAAAATTGTCTAGTCGATAACAAAAGTATCGTTGAACAACTGACGAATAAAATGAAAAACGATTACGGAGTTCATATTACCTAAAATAAATAAAAATAGTACCTACGTATAGTAGATATGTCAATCAAAACGATAATAGTATCTGAAAAAGGCCGATGAAATTAAACAACTTATTGTAATGACTTATACAAAATATATATAAATACATACAACAAAAATTTGATGAAGACATGTAGGTATTACAAACGACGTTATACTAAAACTATCGCAATGTTAAACGAACCTCAAGGACTTAAGCTTCTACATAATAGCGAAATAACGCTAAATGAAGCGATGTTAAACGAGGACTTACTGTATTATGTTAAAATATATTATAGATACATAAATATATTTTTCAATTATGATCAAGTAACAACAATCGAGTGATGCAAATAATGACACATTTTAACATAAAAATTAAATAAAAGTAATAAATTAATACATTCTACAACTTTTTTAATGTCAAAAATAAAGTTTTGTTAAATTTAAATTATTAATAATTTAATAAAATACATTTTTTTTATGAAAAACAAAAATAATATAATTGTGGGGTAAAACCATACAAGTCCATGTTGAATCAAAGATTTTCAATAACGTGTGGTTTGCATTCTGTTTTTAAAAACACTTAATTACGATGTTACGTATAATCCAGTCTATCGATTAAAAATTGAAAAGTGATGGTACTTCGAGTTAGTCTGAATATTGTAAGCTCTCTCAGCAGTTTTCGATAAAATTACGAAAAACTGAGTAATGAGAATAATGCATGTGGCTGGGCCGATTTTTAATATCATATTATACTGTATTGTCGTTTTTATAGAGTAATTTTTTCGGAACGTTTTATACTTGAGACTTAAGGTAATGTTTATTTTTTTTCGTAGGTATGGTTAAAATGATTATTACAACATTTAAATATTATTTTAAGTATAGTAATTTTTCTTTTACTTTTTACACTTTGTGTTCGATTTATGTTTAATATCTAATATTTTATTATATATCTAATAATTCATATTGCAGTGTTTGTTGTTAGAAATTAGTTAAATTTAAGAGGACGCTACATTCGTATGCAGTATGCCAGTATATCCAAGGTCGCCCGCAGAAATTTTTCTCAGGGGGGGCCAGCGAAAAATAATACACTTACCATAAATTCTCTTTTTTATATCACACCGTAAAAAAATTATTTATTTATTTTAATATTGCAAGTGTCACCTTATCAGTTATCAGTCCTCCTTATCACCCTTCAAGACGCTATATGAAATGCAAATAAATGCAATAAAAATTAGGTAATATCTTAATCTTTATCTTAAAATGTACAAAATATTCAGATTTTTAAATGGCTTGTAACTATCACTTGAAAATAAAAATATAAAAAAAACCCTATGAACTGTGAAGTTTACTTGGGGTTTTATTCTTATTTTTAAATTTAATAATAGGTAAATTTACTATAATAAAAAACATAGCAGAGCTAAATGGATTATTTAAATCGAACAATTTGTTATGTTATGGGTGTGTAAAATTGAGACATCGCATGCGAGTGCAGTATCTTTTTAACAAAAGTAACTTCATTTACCCAGTATTCATTATTAATCACGAATATTAAATCAAAATGTTATGAATTTGTAATGAATTTATCACTAAGGCAACCATATTATTTAATTAGTCGATTATAATATTTTTATGTATAGTTTTGCTGTTAACGTTTTTGTATACAATAAGACTTTGTTAATTTGATGATAATTAATTTTTATGCAAATTATATTATATACCATATGCCAAACACTTCGATTCTATTTTACAAATTCAAATGTGAAATGATGTCAGCAGTTTTGTCTATAACGTTGACAAATATAAATGCATTAATTGAAAATTATCAAATTCTGACTTACATTTACTAACATCTTTTAAATGTTTTAGACATTTATTACTTCGAAAATGCTGCCATTTTATGTGATACTATATATGAATTGTGTTAATGCTCCTAACTTCAAAACGGTATATATTACTGTTTATGATTTAATTAGGTGATAACTAAGACCCAAATTTAAATACCCTAAAAACTATGAAAAATAACCAATACGGCAATATAAAATGTCTTTTTAACGCAATAATTCCTATGAAGAACTATTAACAAAAATTTAATAGTAACGCAAGTGATAGAAAAACGTGAGTTTAACTCTCATCATTTTTAACACTTCTTTATTTTAATTAAACAAACGAAATGTAAAAATAAAATACCAAACTTAGGTTAGGTACGCATGATAAATAAACAGAATATACTCAAAATAAACCTGATTGCGATGTAACAGGAACTGACCAATTAGGTAATTTTTCTTTGAGTAAAATTCAGTAAAACTCCATATAGAATAATTGCTATAGATTAGATAAATACATTATCAGTTATCATATTCATAAATAGAACGGTTGACATTTGATACTTATGGATGAAAAAATACCAAAAAATATTAAAATAAATAATATGAAAACTATATTTATTCTATAATATTTTGAATTTCCTAATTTGTACTATGATAAATAATGATTTTTGTTTATAATTTTGTAGTCATTCAAAAATATTTGTGGGGACTTAGAATTTTTACATATTTATTATTATTATTAATTTTTACTATATAGTATATACAATTACATTTTCAAAATATTTAGATTAATTTCAAACAATTAGCTATTTATATAACTAAAGCACGAACCCATTCACATAGTTCTACAGCAAGTTAGTATTGACTAAAAAGTTAATAAGTAATAACAATAATGTATAGGACGATTTAA